CATTTAGGACTTTATTACATTTAGGACAGTTATTACATTTAGGACTTCAACATAAGGAGCATTGAATGATAAATCATACAATGAAGTGAATACCTAATTTTTTCATATTGATTAATGTCCAGGCTCTATCAGTTGAGTTCACTTATTGAAAAAATGAAACATCTATGTAAACAATGCCATTTTATCTGGCTAGCCTCCTTTCTCAAGGCATCCAAATTGGAGCATAATCTGTTCAAGGCGAGCAGCCAAAGAGGAACATAGTGATTTTAAAACATTGAGATTTAAGCACAATAATTTTATGGCATGCATATTGTGGTAATTATTGTGCAGAGATAAAAGGTTATACAGGCTTATTTTGAAACATAATCCAGAAGCTTCTTTTTCACCACAGGTATCGCGGGAAGTGCATCACATGTACCAAGTTTGCTGCATTAACGTTTTGGCGTGCGCCACATGTCATTTAGTCGGCAAATGTAGACTTACTTTTGGTTTTCCCTTCTTTCTATCCGAGAGATAAACTTCTGCTTTCGATTTCGAAGGGTTCTTAACATATCAACATGAGCAAGATTTTACTCATGATTGGTTACTACTCAATCGTGGGATCTTTAAAAAGGTAGAGTGGTCTTAAAATTTCGTTAGAGGAAATACATCAAGTCTAGGCGCTCAACGAGGATTACTTTTTTATGTTATTTTTTACGCATTTTAATCGCCTTTCCCTGACCTTACTGTTGAAGCAAGCTCCACATTTCCGGTTCTCATGGCCATAAGATTAACACTTCCATCATCTTCCTGTATCGTCACAGCACTGATAGTAAAATTCGCCGTAACTTGAACAGCTTTCAGAGCTATCGAAAGAGAAAACCTCCGACTTAGAGTCTTGTTGACAAGCAAACTAAATTTTAAATGTTATCTTTGATGATAACAATTACGGTAATGATTGTAATTGAGCAAGTAGCCCATATTCCTTGAGCTTTCATTGAATTAACAGAGTGACCAGAAATGAGATATCGAGATCGCCGGTCCTCGATCTCACCCATGGCCAGGGGGGAGAGAGGCACTGTGAGGGTAGTGAGGGCAGAGCATTTTGCCTGATAACGTGACACAATAACCTGGCCGGGGTGGGGTTCGAGTTCGCCAGGGCCTTTAAACCCGGTTTTTTAGCACGCCTTCCACTCGGCCACAATACCTTCCGGGGAAAACCATAGTGCACGTGCGCACAGCTGTTATTGAGGGAAAAGAAAGAGAGAAGGAGTGATGAAGGACGTGAAGAGAGCGATTGTGAACCCCAAAGAGGTTGGTATAAAGGCGAAGGGTAAATTAAATTTTGGTCCTTTTGACCAAATTTGTGAGTTAATCGAACGGATTTTAGACTAGGTCAGAATTAGAACGCCGTGGTGGCACGCCGCAGCCCAGGAATTCCGTTAGCGCCCCTCTCAGAGATAAAAGGTTAAGGGTGGGACCTCTTGACTTCGCCCCTCCCCCCTCAGTAGAGACTACGCATATGGTGATGGTGGAAAAATAGGGGGGGGAAGGGATTAAGAAGTGAGGAAAATACCTTGGCTGAAGGTTGCCTCGGAGAGTTCCATTGCCTCTGTCTCGTTTAGTACGCCTCTAAAGACTTGGAACCAGCTCATTGAAAACTTTGTCTGAGATTTATCAAAGCCAAGGGAATACTCATAAGGGGTGGGATTTGACGGTTCGGGAGAAATCGTTGAAATGTAGTTTTCGGAAGCCATTCTTGTGCCGTTCAAATAAACCAGTGTTTCATTTTGGTGCAAGCCAGTATACATAATGCTTATGTGGAACCATTGAGTCACCTTTGCTATACCGTCGACACGTGCACCTTTCGTGTTTTTATCGTGATGTCCAACAGCGGCATAAAATGATATATTACTCCCGGTCTGTATCAATCTAATCTCGACTGGATTACTGTTTTTCCGCTCCTCTTTCCTGGGGGATGAAACGAAAAGGCGGACAGAAACGGCATTTGGCAGCGGCAAAGTATTGATTTTATATAGAAAAGAAATTGTAAAGGCTGGAAAAGTTGTAATGTTGCCAAGAGTATCGGCAAGAGTTCCAAGAACGATTTTATTTGAACCGGTGTCAAAGAAAATGCTATGAATCCCTTCGTCTCTCTGCTCCACGACTTCTCCGACGATGTTTTTAGGAAGGACAGAAGTGTTGGAATTGGGCTTGTATCCATAAAGCTGGTTGTTCCACTTTGGGTATAGGTACCAAATGAATTCTGTTGATTGGAGATGAATATGAAAATGAATAGAGCTGAAGTTGAAAAAAAGTATATCAATATGGTATGGATGGTAGCTTTTAGTCATGTCTTACAAGCCAGCTGCCTGTCGGATCTTTTCACAGCTTCTGCTGCAATCAACTGTTTATCAACTACATCAGCATTTCAGTTCATTAAATGCAAATTACGGTAAGGAGTCCTGGTCAACCTGTGGTTGGCGGAGTTATTCTAAACAGACAACCCAACCTAAATTACACTTCTATCAAGCTCAGAATACAATAAAGAAAACACAGAAGTAGACGAATAAATGTAATAAAAAAGTCTCTTATATCACAGCATAATTTGTTACTCATCCTTAACGGGATTCGAGTCCAGCACTCATCAAATTTCTCTGATAGCTGTCTGGTCTGGTAACCATTTGTACTCCTGGGAGGAGCCTTGAATTTTAAATGTGAACTAACTAGCCCTAGGATAGCAGCCATGACTTTCATCAAAAGATACCGAGCACTCACCAAAATTACGTCTGCTCTGCTAACTATTCCAATCAACAACTCATTCAAAGATATTAAGACATACTTTGGTAATAGAATGAGTTTATCATAACTGATAGCGTTACTAGCCCCTCAAGGTCGAAAGATAAATTTATCCGTTGCTACGAGACAAACACGTTGTTTTTCTCTACAGGGAATTTTTTCATATTGCGGTTACATGCACATCTTTTATGTTGTTTGTTTCGCAAATCGGAAAAAATTATTCTAGAAAGGTCCGCATGATTCTGTCTTTGAACTAACCCAATCAACTCTCTCACTATGTTTTGGGTAACCGCTCTCCAAAATACAGGATAAAGATATAATCAGATAGCTTTTTAACGACTCGTTGATGACAATATGGCGAGAAGAATTACATTGTTTTTATAAAGTAATTATTCTTGCGAAAGTCTCTCTTAAATCGTGTCTGATTAAACCATAAAAGTCTCAATTCCGCCTACAAGAGTTTTATCAAACTTTTCTATATTACTTTAACGACAGTCATAAGTCGTATGACTCTCGAACTTTCGGACAATATTTTTCACACGAGGACACATCCAATTTATACGATATCATGTCTCGATTCACTCGTCTGAGACCAAATATTTGTTTACTCGATGTACGTTTAGGTTTAGCTAAGTATGTTTGGATCGGAGGTAAAACTCTGAATAACTAAACTTTACTTTCACTTTTCAAAAATACAGTCAAGTTTGACGAAAACATTTGTATAGCCGTGTGAAAGCAACAATAAATTATGCTAAAAATATGATCATATCCTGCACACTGAACTAAACAATCGACTCAATGTTTCTAGTAATTTCTCCTGCTCCCAGTCATTATTCTGTAGAATTTTTAAGCCAACGTTTTTTGATAATCAATAGGACATTGGTATGAAAATGAATTTTATCCCAAGATAAAGTTCCTAAGCTATTATCATAACACTTTCACAGCTAGAGCACAGTTTTCTGTTTGAGTTTAATTTCTTTCAAGATTGCATCCATAAATCTTCGGAACGGGCAAAAGGTCGTTTCAAACCTTTACCTTTGAAGTGGTTTTGCTGCAATACGCAGAATTAAAAAAAAAAAATAAACGTAAAATAAACGAAGGCGAAAGTTATGGTGTAAAGGTTGAGCGCTCAAAACTTAAGATAATGAAAGGTTCGTACGAAAAACAGCGATTTAAAGCTGAGAAGCGAGAGATGTAGGGAAAGGAAGGAGAAGATTTTACAGGGAAAATTGAAAAATGTCCGCGAAATCAAACACTTCGAAAACTGAGCGAGTTGATTACCAATTGGTCTTCAGTGAAATAATCTAGTCCGTGGTTGTGTTGTGCGAGCCCTGTAGGTAAATAAGTAACGTATCATGACTCACCGGGCCTTGGTACAAAAGCGATTGTCATCGATGATGCCATAAGAAAAAAGTAAATTTGGATAGGTGTCGACTTCATTCTTTCCAATCTTACTACAACTTGTTGTTTCCAAGACTATCGTTTTCAGTAGCTACAACACCTGCATTCTTGTTTCTTTCATTCCTGTTATTAATTATGCAAATATTTTTTCCTTCGGCATCGCTTACGATCACGCGAAATTATATCAAAGAAATCACGCTGCGAGACCATGCCTCGATATTTTCTCGAACAATTCAGAAGCCATGACGTCACAATTTTCAACTCGAGCATAAAATCATCTAAGCTAAGATTGAAAACTGAAAACTTGGGCGAAAGTAAGGAAAGGACTTAGTATCAAATGAGTAAAAACTACCAACAATATCGCTTGTGTAGTTTAAATACAAATGTTGTTTATTGATAACCAGGTCATGACAAGAAGCCAACAGGCTAGAAACAAATAGGTATGCTTGACCTCGTTTGGGTTTACAGGAGTGATTTTGTTTACAATCTCTCAGCCACAACATTCCTGACATATGTCATTCCGTTGTTATGTTTATTTCATGGCTGACCGCAAAACCTGAAATGACTTGCTACCCTGATGGGTAATGGGTTTAAAGGAGTGATTTTGTTTACAATCTCTCAGCCAAAACATTCCTGACATATGTCATTCCGTTGTTATGTTTATTTCATGGCTGACCGCAAAACCTGAAATGACTTGCTGCCCTGATGGGTAATGGGCTTATTTTGGAATATGTTCACTAGTCTTGTGCCTCAACTACCCGAGGATGTGGAAATTGTTAGTACAGTGGATTGTTACTCGCGGGGAATAAGATTCCATCGCGGGTCACCTCGACAAATTTGTAAGTGGTACACAGTCATAGTCCTATGGCGCTGATAAGAATTTGTTTGACAATCAGGAGCTTCTTAAAATGATGATCATTTCCTTTACACTCATGACCTTTACATTTGATCAAAAGATGGTACTGTTAGGAGAAACTAGAAGTCAACCATTCTAAGGAAATCACGCTGTGAGCATTCTGTAACACAACACATTGACCCGAGCAGAGGTTGAAGGGGACTTAAAGATCCCGAGACCCGCCCCCTAGTGGCCAGATCATCTCAGGGGTGGGGGGGGGGGGGGGGGGGGGGGGTAGGGGGTTAAATAGAACATCGAAAAGTTGCGTCAGACGTTGCAATATTTTAACTTAAAAGTTGCCTTAAAGTTTCTCTTGGTTTTTATTTTTTTGTTTTGTTTTCGGGGTAGTTATCACAACAAAAGCTTTGCGGTAACCTTCGTTTATTCCGCCCACTTTTTTAAAATTATACCGCAAATCTATCTTACTTACATTACTTACCGATTAACTTTCATAAGAGGAAAAATAAACAGACAGCCAACACTTTAACCAGTAAATTTACACATTCCTTTCTAGTGCCCAGTCCCTTAAAATTTGGTAATAACTTTTTCAAAGGTCTCTTTGAGCTAATCGTAGTTACAATTTAAAACTATCATTTCCCCAAATAGTTATGAAAAACAATCTGTATATTAAATTCTTTTATTCATCGGCGTTGTTAGATATTTTTTAAAATTTACCTTCGTTATGGTATAAAACGTTCCCTTAGTTCCAGAATTATTAAGAGGGAAGGGAACTTCCGATTCCATGTTCTCCTTAAAGTCTGACCCTCACTTCTAAACTTTCGCCATTCTGATCAAACCTCGATCCAGCTCCCTGCCTCTCTCGTCGGAGTGCGAGAAAGGCAGTGTATGAAAACGTTGGTGTAATGTCAAAATGTAACTCCAAAATTGTTACATTCTGGACAACAACGGCTTTAGGCCACTCAACCCCACCCCACAAACAAACTCCCTTCCCTTCCTTACCAAAAGCAGTTACTGTTTTCAGGGTTATATCTCTACCCCTGGGAATTATAGGACGTTGTCCCCCTGGGGCATACCAGCGTCCTCTTACCCGAGGGGTATTCTTAATACTTGGGTGTATGAGGCTTGTCAAGGAGAGCCCAGACCCATTTGTTTAAATATAAATCGCTACAAAAAATTTAAACTATTAAAATAAATACATGTCTTAATTTCTTCCTGCATTTTACCCACTCACAAATGACTGCTGATTCCCGCGTATTCGAATTCGAAACTGTACAATTCATAATTTACTTGCGGGTAATTCTAAATCTCATTTCTGTTCATTTCAAGCTTGGAGCTCCTAACATTCCGTCAAAATTACTTTAGATCCGCCAATGTATATAACGTTGTGGCACATAAGAAATGATTATTAAAGTCAATAAAATGCAATTTGTGAACCGTCTACGTTACTAATTTTTCCAGCAGTTTCTACACTTTAACCTAAACAAAAGGAGCTCCTCACGAATGGCGAATGTTGGAAAATTCCTTTTACATTCCTCCAGTTCATTATCCTCAGCCCGAGTGAATCTTCTCCATTCTTAACCATCTCTGTTCACCCTTATTGTTCGCCTCCACCGACTTAAGTTTGCGATTTTAAACCTGTCCATCTCTGGCCATCAATCGTCTTTTCTGGTTGATTCGCAACGTTCTGGAGGTCTTATTTCTAAACCAGACTAATAGCGGAGCCCGCAGCGCGCGCAGCGTAGCCACATACTTATCAAAAATGTTTTTTTGGTTCTCTCCGAGAGCAAAATTACCGCACGAGAAATAATTTTACATCTAATTGTATGAATAATACTAAATATACCTGAGAATTAAAAAGGTTTCAAACAGTGTGTCCACTATTTGCCACATCGTATGTATAAATTCAAATGGTTTCCAAATTCCTGAATACGGATTGCTTGTTTCCCGAACGGAACAGTTTTGATTAAAAATATATGACTGATAGTCTTCCGAAAATTGTCCTCAACTTTGTCTCTTATCTGTGGTTTACAACAAATTAAGTTGTTTAAAATAAAATGTTTGATTTTCTTTTCCATTCATTCTTACGTCGGTTGTCACGTGTTTGTTTTCTCATAACCACGGGACTCTGGGTAGGGCTGTTGGCTCGCCCTAAGCCTTTCTGGTCGGCTGGTTCGCGCTTGACAGAGTCGATGGGAAATACCTTCTCGGGTTTTACAAAGGATCCATAACGAGGCTTACAGGCGAAGTACCGCTGACCACTCACAGACCCGTCATTTTTTCCTAGTGAACGAGAAAAATTATCAAAACGAAACTTAGCACATAAAACGTCCGTATCGCACAGAACGAGGAGCATATCTGCAAGGCTTAATATCCTCACGAGACTGAGGTAAATAATTAGCAGAGCTTATCCCAACTTTTAATATTAAGTGCCTAAAATCACACTGATGTAATAACAGCGGGTACAATAACATAATGAGAACTTGCAGTAAAAAGATGTCACCAGCCTAGAGCCTAGAGCAACACAAAGACGAGTTACTTCATGTTGGTCGTACTCGTTTTTAGTGTTGCGACTGATTGGTTGACAGGGTCCCGCAATTTTTCTTGACCAATCACGGAGCGACAAGCAGCAAAACCAAAGCAATCCAGGTTTATTTCGGACACTGAGTTAAAATTTTTACTGAAAAATGACTCACCTGAGGGGGTGTCCAATTCCACACCAATCCAAACACCAGGAGCAAATTCAGTTGGTCCAATATATCTAATCCTTCCAGTTTTCTTGTCTCCGATGCAAATAACCTGCCCCTTTTTCAAATCCCCCAAGGAATCCAGCGAATCGTGCACATCCTCCCCCTCGAAGGAACCCAGTAGATCCTCTCGACTGCTAGAGTTTGACTTTTCGTGTGGAATGGAATTCTGCTCCTCGCTATCTCCTAGTGGTTCCAATGGTTCCCCCTCTACCTGAGTTTGTGTGAGAAGCGATGAGAGTTCATCTTCGTCTTCTTCGTCGTCCAGAGCGTCATCTAAACCGCGTAATGTTATCCCCACACTTGGCTTCGCACTGCTCTTCTCGGAAGCAAAATCTATCAAGTTATTTTCCAGACTGATCGATTTGAAATCGTTTGCCTGTACTGGCGGATTCGATAAATCTTCACCCGACGCCGTCGGCGCGGAGGGATCTTCACAAGTTAGCGTATCGGCGCTACCTGAACGTTCCCGAAGTTCATCTGAAAGGGGGCTAACTGTTCCTTCAGAAGACCCTTGGCCTGTAGTCTCTTGGAAGTCGAACAAAGCCTTGGGATTTTTCCTGACTTGAGGGCTCGGTGCGGGAGTAGATTCATCCTCTTCTAGAGGCTCAAGCTCCATGAGAAGGGAGCTGGGGCGTGAGTTAGATGATCCGCCTCCTGAATTCCGCAATACAACACCTGATGTAGTGGGTGATGAGCTGAATTTTTCATTCATTTGTGAGAGGTCAAGTAAAATCTCCTCCTTCGTTGGTCTTATTGGCCGAGGATCTGTGAAACTCCCCGGTAGAACAAAATCGCTTCTGTTGTTAGCCTGTTAACAAGAACGTTCACAAATGTTTCACTCTTCTCCTTTACAAAAGGTCAATTCTAATGTAGTAGTGTATTGACAATGTTAAAATATAAATTAGATGGAGACTGCTATGAAATAACTGATTCTCACCCTTGTATTCCAAAGTTTGTGACTCTCTGGTGAATCAAATCGATCGTCTTTTCCGCTGAACCCGAACGAAAGGTCCCCCGACTATAAAAGCAGGAAAAACAACAAAAAAAATCATGAGCCTTAAGACTTGTCGAGGTTGTAACTACTATTTGGTGAATGTTTTTTTTTCTACTTGTAAGAAGTCATTGTGTAATTAACAAAGCCAACTTAAGTTAAACAAAGACCAAAGAAGCAGTACATCTTACCGCAGCTGCCAAGTTTGGAGTACTGGCGAATTTCCTCAAGGGCTTTCCAATGGCCGCCAGTTTCTCCTTCACCATAACTTCCTGCCAAAGAGACAAGCACATTTCGCTCAATAATTCACCCATTTTAGTAATTTGGGGCGACGAAACAAATAAACAAACAAACGCTTTCAATTGTTGGTGCATTGCTGAAGAAACATCCAAGTGATTTAAGTTCACGAGCGATATTATTATTACTATCTCCTTACTGAATACTTCCATAAATCGTGTACTAGGAGTCAGGTGTTCTCCCCCACTGGAAATTATCCCGGTTTGCGTGACATGCACCGCTTAGAGGTATTTCTACTTCCCCCCTGAATGGGACGCTACGCTAGTTAATCGCCAGTTAAACCCCTTTATTTCGTCAAGTTTCGTAGGGAGAGCAACTTCGACGGTAGAGAATCTTGCTCGTGAACACATCACAATGACTTGGTCAGGTCTCGAATCCAGGCTTTTTAATTCAGAGTCCAACGCGCTACCCATTGAGCACCGCTTGACAGCCACCAAGTTCTTTGGCGCCGTACCTGTCTGAGTCGATCGAGTGCCAACAAACTTTCCACATGTGAGATTCCTTTGCTGTACTTTCTCAACACGGATTCATCCTCCTCCTCCCCCTCCCCCACAGCTAATGCAGCCATTTGCGCCAGGCTCTCGCGTTCTTCTGTCTCCTCTCCCGGTTGCTGTAAGGTGATTGAAAGATGAACTTATCAGTACCCTTGTTCACCTCGTAATTCTCGTATTCCATCAAGCAAGCAAAGCCCTAGAGGGTTAGAGGGCGACTATGAGGCAAACGGCAAATATCTATTTACCAGAGAGATGGTTTAAATGTCATATCAAATTACTCCTAATTTCATCTGTTCCTAGCTCAGCTTAAATTCACTCTTACCCTCTTGGTAAATTATCATGACAAGAAAATCGTTCATTTGGTAAGCGTTAACTTACCCGTGGAATGTGTGAAACAAGTTCGTACGTCACGCCAGACCGTGTTATGATATCCTTGTAAAAGATAAATTATCAAAATAATTAGTTTTTGATCTAATACATCACAGTACGATACGCCAATCAAAAGTTACAGATCAGCAAAAAAAAAAAGAAAAAGGTTACAAATGACGTATGAACGAAACCAAATATATCTTAAAAGGTACAACTGTCAGAAGTTTCAGATACCTTTGTAATTTTTCTCAGCAAACTGTCTTTCCAGCTTTGTTTCTTGTATATTTTGACTGAAATTCTTTTCCGAAGGACCAGATCCATCGCGATTGGACTTGCGAGGCGAACGATGATCTGCAGTAAGGAAAGGTAATCGGAATAGGATCATTTTAACCTTTGCCTCCTACGATTTAATAAAGAATTCTCCATTTAAAGTTCCACAAATTCAGCTCTAAAATACTTTTAAGAATTTGCTTCCAAGATAAAATAGCAACCCCACAAAGTAACAGGGTTTAATGAGCAACAGTTATGTTCATTGAGGAAAATTCTATCTTAAATTCTATTTTAATTGAAAGCGATTTCTTTGTAGTTTTCTTACATACCTTCAAGATCAGATAAACTCTTTCATGTGATTGCGTGACACGGTTAAGAAACACGGAGTCGTGAATTGACGAATCCCATAACACAGTGGCAGAAACCTACAAGTCATTACAAAAGATATCACGCACAATGTCGAGGAATCACATTTGATGCAGCCCAAACACAGTTACCACTGAAACCACAATAGCCAAGTAGGGTGCAGGGAAGAAGATAATTTGATTGCTATGATATATTTAGCTCAGGTGGTAGCCATGGCGTGATACCGCCGTGACTTAAGTCAGCGAGGTAAAAAGTCAAGTGACTAAGCACCCTGAACTTGCCTGAAAAGAATTCGCGATCATAATTACACACGCGGGGTGTGTTGATCACAAACCTGCTTCTGATCGTAGTTTATAATCGGTAGTTCCATCATGTGGTCGGAATTTTCGAACACCAAAGTAGAATCCACTCCTGCCGGGCCTCCTTCTTCCATACAGCCGCTTCTCACATCATCTGTGGGGAGGAGAGGGCAACACACTTATTTATCTATAATTCTTTCTTCCTCTCTCTGCGAAACTTCAGCAAGATTGGGTTTGATTCGAAAGAAATTATAAAAACAGAAAAGACCGAGTGAGATCACAAAGATAATCGCGCACATCTTGCGTAGCAAATTTCTTATGTCACGCTTTCATACCAGGAAACCTCACTCCAACACACAACGCTTTCCTTTGGTAGAAATTCCAAAGAGAGTATAAGTAATAACCTCTCCAAAGAGCATATATTTCTACGAAGGGCAAATTTTCACCACACGTTACAAAATTCTTCACCTTCCCATTACAAATGCGAAGCAACATACATTTTAAACCAACCAAACAAAGTTAAATCGATTGCCTTACCATTCTGTAAATCCAGAAAGATAACAGGGTTGTACTTCTCCATTCCCAGGGGCACAGTCCTATAAAAGAACACCCGGAAGAATTTAACCCCTGAGGGAACATGTAAATATTTAATTAGCAGCTAGTAGTCTCCTTAACCCTAGTCAGTAGTTACTCGGGGTGAGATGCCGACGCGGTCGTGTAGAAAGATCCTTACCCTTCAAGAGGCGGAGCACCGGGGATTCCACTTCCTCGTATCGGAACAAGGACAGCGTTCCTCTCCTCGGTAAGACAAACCCATTGGTCGATCATCCAGCTCTCCCGCTCTTTATCGCTCGCTGATTTGTCTACAGATGAAACATACTTCATAGTTATGCTTGAGGTTAGAGCGTGTCCCGATCAGAGACGAAAATATACCCTCAATTTTCTAAAGTTGTCGATGCTGAATCATCCTAGCTCGCTTTAAATTTGCATTGGGCAACCGACGAGGGACCAAAATCTTTTCCACAAGAGGTGGCAACACTCCTTGTTGCTTGATGCAACAGAAAAAGTGCTAAATTCTTACTGCGTGCCTCGCTTGGTCTGAATAAAAAACTCGAATTTTTCTAAGCCAGCGCAGCAAGCTTGGAGGAGGTGGTAAGCGCCATCTAGCGCAGGAGGAACATGCGAAAGGAAGGAACACACTCCAGTCCACATTGTCCTTTTCTGATTTTTATTTCTCCCTCCACGCACATTGCCCCTACTGCCGACACCGACAAGCAGGCCAATTCTCTTCCTAATCTCTCCTCAAGCGTTACCTTGTTTGTCGATTAAGGAGTGTATTTGCTCGTCCAAATACTCTCGTCTTTTCATCAGAGAAGTGGACCACTTTTCACGCAGACTATGAAGAAAAAGAAAGATCGAAAACTGATATAAAAGGAATACTGAAAATAGAGCAAAAAACATTTGAGTGGAATCTTTAAAGCACTTTAGGATTGAGGATAACTTTTCCAAGTGAACTATGTTTAATTTGCTTTCAATAAAAAAAAAAAACACTTACATAGCAAGATCTTTCTCTTGATAGCTGTCCAGTGGTTGTTGATTCTTGGTTCTCATACTAACACTTCCAATGTACACAGCGGAAATGATGTCACACACAACCGGAAGAGAACCGGCCCTCGGCACAGGCTGAACGCGCACAACAATTCGCCTCGAGTGACCTTGACGAAGCTGGAATACTCCACCAGTTAGATTGTCTTTTTGAATGTGTAGTTCTACTGGTGCATAGACCCCTTGATCGTTAATTTCCAATATTTCCACCCAGAGCTGCATCTTTCGTAAAAGTTCTCCCCACCTGTGGGGTAAAGATATTACGTTACAAGCAAGACCAAGGAATTGTAGCTGTTGATGCCACGGTCAAAATGTGAAGACGCACTCGCCTAATGGTCAGTGCGCTAACATCCCATCCAAGGAAAGGAAACTGATTCCTTTTTATTTGATGCTACAAATATTAGGATACAGTCCAGCTTCTAAATGACGATATGTCGTATGCAGACTTCGTTATTATTTACATAAATGTCGAAGAGCTAGACAAGAACAAAAGAAAGAAAAGGGCCGTTGCAGATACCTGTCGTGAAGTCCTTTTTGCTGAGGTTCCACGTTCCAGTTTAGCATTACTTTACTTTGTGAATCAAATCCTTTCATTCGGTTTCCCCAGACTTCAATGGCCAGCGAGCCCTCTGATGCATACTCGACGAATTCGTCCGTAACTTGCATGTCAAATAACTGAAAATATTTAAACATATATTATATCAGTCATATTTTCCTCTCCGGATGAAAAATAATGACGTGTCGTTATTCCATTCTGAGGAAACCGAGACAAACTCTTAGTTCGTATAGCTTAAAGAAATACAAAAAACCTTCATTAGCCTGCAATATAGAGAGGATTTCCTTTTTGAATATTACTGCCGCAAACGTCAAACTTGTCTTGAGCCAAACATGGAGCTTAAATTATATTTCATTTTTGCGCTCAGTTCCCTTGTTCCCCCGAAGCGTAAGTTGGACTACATAAGTTCGCCGTCGAAATACACCACATTCAGTAAGGCAAATGAAAATTAAGCCTTATGCAAATGAGCATACCTGCTTATGCTCGAAAATCATCGTGTTTGTCTTTGGCCCCGGCTGAGAAATACTGGCATTGATCGGGGGTACCACAATGGTATTATCGTCATTCCAAAACTTGTACTGACAGAACACGTAATTGCACAGAGCTGGGGGCAGGTCATAAGCTTCAACAACTTTGACCTCTACATGCATCTGCGAGCCTTTAACCAGCTCATCATCATCATCATCACCATTATCATCATGTATGACTAACAAATCGTCCTCTTCGTCGCTCGAGGTTTCTCCAGCGTCACCTTCAGCCTCTCTAGACTTCTTCTTCTGAGCTTTCTCTGTTGTTGAAAACGTATAAGAAGAGATAGATTAGTTGAACAGAAACCTTACCCCGTTTTAAACAAATTCTACAATCACGCTCGGTGCAGATTTTACATTAAGCATGAAACATTTTGCTTGAAAAATGTTTGGATTCCAAACCGTTACAGTGCGACACACAAGGAGAAAGTTCTCCACGACACATTATTACGAAAGCATATCTTTCAGGGACGTTTCTGTGATTCATTTACACGACGCAACCGCACCCATGAATTTGAACAAGTTTGAATTGGGCGACGTAAAACGGGGAAAAAAATCTGTCGCAAGGACAACTACTCTCCGAGAAAATCTATTCATGTCAAACGAAGTAAACAGTCGTAGTGACCTATTCTTGAATCGTTTCGCGGCGATATGTCGCGAACCTCCACGCGACCAAAGCACGTAACACAACAACACGCTTGTTCACAAAAATTCACGCTCATTTAGACGCTTTCGTAAATCATGTACCTGAAATCCTAGAAACCTCGACCTTCAGCCGGCCACAAACCTGAAATGAAAAGGAAGCAAAGCAAAGGTCACATACGCGTGAAGTCATATCCATATCAGTAAGTTCTATTAAGCAATTTAGATGAAAAATTACGATTACGTCTCTCTAGAGTCGGGAGCTTCAGAGAGCACCAATTAAATGTCAGGAAAACCTGACGAAATATCCTGGCTTCGCCCAACAGCCAGATGGAGCTCCAATACGAATACAGTACTGCTCAAATGGAAGAAGAGAGTTTAGATTCGAAACTTTCAAGAATCGAGGCTCGAGTTTCGATTTTCGCGAATCGAAAATCGAGACACCCTAAGAATCTTCCGAAGATCTCAATTCGCCGTTTCGAAGAAACAATTTAACTTTCTAGTGCAAAACAATAACGAAGGAAAAAGCCCTCTACGAGACCCTTCTTCATGACACTCTTGAAGCATGTCAGCTGGATGGCCTTTATGCTCACCTCTCCTTGTTGACTGATGATCGGTGCTGCATACTCATGGTTCACATCGTGTAACAGACACTCAAGAAAAACGTTAGCTACACCGATTAGGGTGTGGCACTCCACCTCGAAAAACAGATCCAAGTTTTCATCCTGACAAAACAGAAATATGCTTTAAAATACGCTTTTCCGTATCAAACCATTCCAACTGAGTTGAGATTTAAGTCAAACTTCAATAAGGGTTCATATTTTTTCCTTTTTCTGCAGGTTATTTATCTCTAGTCTCAGCAATTCACGAAGGAAGTCACTGAAAATTCACCTCAGTAAGCCAAACTTGTATTTACCGTTTCGGAGAAAGGAATATCGTCTTCAACACACTGATTGTACAGATCTCTCATGTCGTAGATTTTGTTGGACAACTTCTCCAGGGACCAAACTGAAACAGAGAACATGATATAACAGTGTTATTGACTAGTTTGACAAATTAAAAAAAACGAATAAAGGGGGTAGGTTTCTAAAGAAACTGTGGTACTGTGTCGGTGGGAGAGTATAGCAGATAATTTAGTGTAAACAACTGAGTTGGAAACGTAAATTGGCCACCATAAAGAGTTTAAAGGCTGACGTTTCGAACGTTAGCCCTTCGATAATCGCTCTGAAAAAGGGCTAACGCTTGAAACGTAAGCCTTTAAACTCTTTACGGTGGCCAAATTACGTTATTAACTCACTTGTTAACACTAAATTACTTGACAAAAAAAGTGGCGTTTAGCGAGGGCAATTTAGGTTAGAACAATGAACAGAAACTCACTCTGTGTCCCTTTCGACTTGTGTTTCACAACAATGGCAACTTCACTACTGAATCCAGGTCTGCTCCGGCCAAAACTTAAACTCGATGTTGGAATCTGATTAATAATCACATTTTCCTGATTAATCAACTGACAAGGGGAAACGCACATTTGAGAGGCTATTTCATGTTAAATCGTTATCCAGCGGCAAAAGGTCAGTAAAACAAATTGAGATACTCGCTGCAAATAAAGCTTTTTTGAAGTGAGTGTCGCAAGCAATCCTCGCTCGGTAATTTGTCTAGATGACTCGTCAAGATGCAATACTTCCAACAATCGCACTTGGATCACTCCCTTAAACCCACGCAAGTTTTCAATCTGTTTTCTCATTGGCTTGTGATATTTTCCTTTATTCTGATTGGCCGTTACGGTCACGAGACCGCATCAAAATGCACTCTAGGAGTTTTGTGCTGGATAATGTTAGCAACCTTACGGGGCAGCAGATGTCACATCTCAAACTACGCCTCATTAAACCACAGTTCTACCTAAATCTATCAATGTACCTGAAGCGTCACGGCAAATTCTGTTTCTTTACCCATCTCCTCACTCAACTGGTTGGCTTCCCTGACGAGAGTGTTGGCTTTGATCACTTCCTCTCTGAGCACCAAGGGTTTTCTTTCAAACTGAATCAGATTCTCCCTGCTGGTTAAAAAAATAACGAAGAAACAAAGTATTAGATTTTCAGTACCCAACCATAGCAATTACCTTCAGCTTTCAGAGCGCTTAATGACTCCAAGTGGCTGCCATGACGACTGACTCAGCTTGTGGTTGATATCTTGATACAGCACCAAATTCTCCCAGCAGATTTATGATGAAATGTATAGGAGCTATAAGAAAGAATTAATCACCTGTCATCACACCACGACATCCTTGATGATCCGTATCCCGAACTAAAAGAGCCGATGCTGACTGTACGCTCTCCCATACTCTGCCGCCCCATTGGAACCATTTGGTTACGTAATTCCTCAATCTTTTCTTCGTACATTTGACGTTGCCTGTCTAAGGCTCCTGAAAAGCATGAATTAAAGAAATCTGTCATGAAGAGTCCTAAACACTCCGCCATTCATTGGTTTCGCTTCACTGCGGTCTATGATTGGTCAAAATCCTTGCACCAATCACATTTAAAACTAAAACTAATTCCGACTTAATCACTTGAGTCTTACGCGCGTCAGGCAGTATGCTTGTTTCAATCTAATTTAATGTTGAATGACTGCGAAATTTTCTTTTGTTGAGACAGTTCCCTGATAATTCTTTTGGTCGTCAATTAGAAAACTGTAACAGGTTGTTGCGCCTCCCTCTTAAAATAAAGTTATTATTGTCATTGTTGGTTTTAGGTTTGCTACACTTCACGGAAAAGCGTTCTATTGAGTCAAAGGTTAAAACGTCTTACGTGCATTTGAGTATTTTATACTGCTTTCAAAAATCTCACCGCGATTTTCTCTTTTTTTCACTTTACCTTGTTTTTCAGCTTTATATTGCTCTTCAAGAGCTTTGACAGATTCCTTGAGGGGCCCTGGCCAAGAAAATGAGGGAAAAAAACAGCGATATGGGATTTGATTTTAACACCATTACTGCGTTTTTTTCTTTATTTAGACTACGAACCAATATCGACAGACATAGGCAGATACACAACATCCTACGTGGCTGCATGAGAGGTTTTGCGAGCGATTTGATGCGCTGAGCGGCATTGAACTACGCTGTCTTTGTTTTCAGCGTGTGCCCGAATAAGCCAAGCGGGCTTTATTTATATCATATCCACGGGTGTACAACGCAGTTAAAATCCACTCAGCAAGCGACTGAATAAGAGGCAACATTTAGAAATGTACTGGAAAAAAAATCAATGTGATGTACGTTTACCTGCGCTCATTTCATTCATCATCAACTCCGTCTGGGCAAATTGAAAATCAACCGTTTGTTCCACCTGCTGTTCACTTCCTGTTTGGCAAAGGGTAAATAGGTATGTAAAGGTTATAAGTTGCCACATGGCCATTAAGGCACCCAACCCAGTAAGAGAGTGACTAAAGGAACAGGGACGAGGGGAGGAGAAGAAGAATAAACACTGAGGAATAATTTCAGCTATACACACCTGGTAGACGGGGGCAGTTTATTCTGAAGTAATGGTTGTTCCCCCACAGAATACGATCTCCATGTTTGAGCTGCGTCTTTTCTTCCACAAGTCTTCCGTTGACACACGTGCTACACACAGATAAAACAGTAGTCAGCTTAGCTTACAGCTGTACAATAAACATGGTAATATTTGATACTTTTTCAACCTCAGTTATAAGAAGTACAATGCACATACCCTGTTTTGGCTAGCGGTGTAACATACACTTCATTGCCCTCTATATCAAGCTGACAATGCTCCTGTAATATTCCAAGCCCGCCCAGTTGAATATCCTATGAAAAAAAAATTATAAAAAAGTCACTAAGGCAGGACGTGAAATTAATTTTTTTTTCTGATAGCCACTTGGCTCCTAAATTTTTCAAAGTGGTAGCCAATTCAAAAAAAGTTGGTCGCCATTTTCAAAGACAAACAAAATATTTCTTTACGTTGTCAGCGTTCTAGATAGACCCTCCAAAATGAAGTTAGGGAAAAGATCTTTAACGTGCTACAAAGTGGACAATAGGATGGATGATATAAAAAACCAAGATGGCGTCTAGTTATCGATCGAGATGCATGTGCTACGTTTTGGAAACAAACTTAACGAGGAAGTTTGCCGCGGATTTATCTTTGCAAATCTTTTTAATTCACTATATCTCTTGGTAAGGTTATGATGAAACGTTCTAGTCGCCAATTTGGCGACTAACTTTCAGGATTTGGTCGCCAAAGTAAAAAATTTAGTCGCATTGGCGCCTGAATTAGGCGCAATTTCACGCCCTGTAGTAAACTTTACTTTGAATGAAGTCTCCCTCTCTACTAAGGGTAACCGGTCAAGTCGCCCGAGAGTCATCACGCCCGAAGCCTAAGTCATGTTGCCCGAAATTTCAGTTATGTCGCCCGAAACAAAAAAAGTCAAGTCACCCGAAGAAACAAA